CAGCATTGCCCAGAGGCTGAGCTGGAAGACACTCCAGGCAGAGCTGTGGTATGGTGGCAGGAGTGGGGATGGCCCTGTGGGACAGCAGGCCGCTGCCCCATAGTTCCGGAGGGGGGCTGGCATGCACTGTCCTCGGACAGGCCGAGAGATCCCGTTCTGCGGGTGTGGCCAGCTGAGAGACTGTTGGGGTTCACGGTGAGCCTGGGGTGGCCGAAGCTTCCGGTGGGTGGCCCTGAGGAACTAGGACTTTGCCTCCTTTCCCACTTGTCCCTCCAGAGACGCGCTGTGAGCAAGATGGGCCTTTCCCGACGACCGCACCACCACCGCCTCCCCGCCCTTCACCATCCCCCACGCCAGAGAGCCCCTCCGTGCACAAGTACAACGTGAGTGGCGCCAACGGGACCTGCCTGCTGGCCAGCATGGGGCTACAGCTGAACGTCACCTACAGCAAGAGGGACAACACGGTAGGTTCGGCCCTGGGGACCCATCTCCGTGCGTCAGGGCGCTGGTGCATGTGCACACCTCTCATAAATCTGAGAGAGCGGGTTGTGGGGCCTGTCCTGTAATCAGCTTCTTGGCGCACACAGCCAGGCTGCTGTCTTCTGTATGGCCCGTATCATTGGGACTTGCTCTACTGGACGAGTTTATCGGCCCCTAAGAGAATGTTAAATTCTGCTTAAACTTTTACCACCGCAACTTTTGTGTTCATTGTTACGCTTTTCCTTTTTCCCTGCTGGTGATGGGGGCTGTGGGCTGTGGGCTGTGACAGGGAAGGTGCTTGTGGTGGGAGTGTAATGTCCTCGTGAAAGTAGCAACCAGGAGGAGCAGGGAAGATGGTTCTGGAACCCTGAAGTCTGCACTTTGGGTGTTTTCCTCCTCCTGGTTTTGGTTAAAATGATAGAAGCCTTGAAGTTCTCATTTTGAGGTCACTTTGGCTTTTCCAGAGCGTGGAGGACCCGAAATGGGGCGCGAAAAGGAACTTGGGTAACATGTCTGCTTTTCCTCCTCAGACCGTCAGCGGACTGTTCAGCATTGACCCAAGCAACACGAGCGCCACGGGGAGCTGTGGCCCCCAGCTGGTGACCCTGGATCTCCGGAGCAGCCGCATCCACTCCTTGCTCTTCCAGTTTGGAATGGTGAGGGTTCGTGCCTGCGCCACCTCGCGTCACAGCCCGCATCTGGCCATGGCTTCCCGCCATCGGCTCCCGCACACTATGCCCCAGCCCCACGGAGAATCAGTGAAGGTGCCAGAACCCACAGCTTTGCCCCAGTGAGGACGACGGAGTCTGTTTTCCCCACCTGCCTCTTCCATCAGTGCTTTGGACCCTCAGTCCCCCATTTTCATTAAGGACACCTCCGTTGGTTTCCTTTATGCAGCAGGTGTCAGGGGGCACCTGCAGCGTGCCCACCATCGCTGTCCGTGCCCCACTGTGCTCAGCCCAGCCTCCGCCTCGGGCACTGCCCTCAGCCCTTCTTCCAGGGGTGACGTCCTGGGTCCTCTCTTCTTGTCCCCATCTGGGAAGCATAGAAACGCCCTCTGCCCGTGTTTATGATGCTGCAGATTAACAGTCTGGTTTCTCCTGATAAAGTTTACATTAACGTTCCTAAAGTGCCAACGTTTGGAAAAAGTTTGATTTTTTAGAACATGGCTCCTTCGGTCGCTATTTTAACAGAGTCTGATTGTGTAAAAAGGTCTAGGAGGACAAGTCAGCATCTGTGTTCTCGGGATTTATGCGATGCCTTTTATTACAGACTGCGTGTTCCACGGCTTCTTGCTGAAGCTAGAACTGCAGGAGTCAGATTTACTACCAGATGATCCTTTAGGTTTGATGGTAAACATGTGAGTTTGGCAAGTGGTTAAGGATTATTTTCTTCTCTTTAAGGACCCAAATACTAGCCAGTTTTTCCTGCAAGGAATCCAGTTGAATATGACTGTCCCTGACGCCAGAGGTAAGGCCCCCACATCTCACCTGCCCGTGCAGGAGTCCCAGAGCACTCACTCTCAATGTGCCTTTGCAGACCCCACCTTCCAGGCGGACAACAGCTCTCTGAGGGCACTGCAGGCCACCATCGGGAATTCATACAAGTGTAACGCCGAGGAGCGCGTGGAGGTCACGGAGGCCTTTTCTGTCAATATATTCAAAGTGTGGGTCCAGGCTTTCCAGGTGCAAGGTGACAAGTTTGGGTCTGGTGAGTAGCATTGGGGGAGACTGCACGGGGTCTGCAGACTGCAGTTCTGTTTGGATATTTAATCATTTCTGGGTTGCAAGGACAGTTTATGGGGGTGGGGGTCCCCTTTCCCAGTCTCAGAGATTTTTAGAGCAGACTCCCTTTCCCGCATCACCTTGCCTTTGGAAGACCCAGCAGCTCACAGATGCGAACCCAAGGCGCCATTTGCTCAAAGGTAGTCGTTTCATGGGATGGTGCCTGTCCTCCCGAGCCGTGAAGGCAGGAGGTGGGGTGTTGTGTCCGGAGGGCCCGGAGGTCCTGACTGTGTCCAAGCAGTAATTGATTAGAACCGAGCCAGGCTGGGGGGAGGGGGGGAAAGCCCGTGTGAGGTCTCGTGGGGACCGTGGCCGCGAGCATGGCCCCCTGCCCCGTGTCTCCTAGTGGAGGAGTGCCAGCTGGATGAGAACAGCATGCTGATCCCCATTGCCGTGGGCGGCGCCCTGGCGGGGCTGGTCCTCATCGTCCTCATTGCCTACCTCATCGGCAGGAAGAGGAGCCACGCGGGCTACCAGACGATCTAACAGGGCCGCGACAGCTCGGGCCGGCCGCCACCTCCGGGCCTCCGCTCGTCCCCTGAGCTTAGGTTGGCGTGGAGGGCGGCACGCTTTCTTGCAAACTGATTTTCAAATCTGCTTTATCCGATGTGAAGTTCATCTTGCAACATTTACTATGCACAAGAGTATTGAAATGACGGTGTTAATTTTGCTAACTGGGTTAAATATTTTGCTAATGGTTAAAACGTTAATATTTACCAAAGTAGAACTTTCAGGTGGGAGGGAGGAGTGCTTCCCTACATGGGCACTGGCTCCACTATTACTTGGCTCTTTAAGATTCTGCTGTTGGCTTCTTCGTTCCTGACTGAGGTTGAAGCCTCGCCAAGGTGAGGTGCTCCCTGGTCTTAGGGCTGAGGAGGGCTGGCTACTTGTTAGGCTTGTGCTTCAGAAGATCTAGAAACAGAAGTACTCCAAAAGGTGAAAATCTGGAACGCTTAAATGAAGCTTTAGAAGCCAGGACGGGCCCGGCCCCCGCGGCGCACAGCTCGGTACTAGGGCACCGGCGCCCCCGCGGCATCGGGCCCTTCTGTCCTCTCCGCGCTCTGCCACTCAAGAGCTGGCACTTTTTTTAAATAGATAAATGGGTGTTATTTTTATTTACCTTTTTGTAAAGTGACTTTCAGTCTTCTGTTTGAGGTTCGGGGTGATCCTGTTCTGCACTCGTGTAAATACTGGGTGTCACGCTCTGCGCTACCCGCTTGCCGCTCGGGTGGCTGTGCACGGACGACCCTTCACGTCACGCGTTGCTGTAACAAATGCTAATAAAACATCTCTTTCTTTCTCTGTCTGGACTCTGTGCTTCTGTCCGCTCCCGCCAGAGGTCTCAGTGGGACACATGGTAGGCGGCAGGCGTCTGTCCCCCAGCGTTTGAGAGAGCTGGTGTCGCGGTAGGTCTTCTGGGTGGTAACTTGGAGGACTGACAGGAGTTGTGTCTGGAGGTAGGTCCTCAGTGGTGACCGAACAGCCCCCGCGAGTGGGAGGAGGGCCGTGGGGGCTCCCCTGTGGGCACCGACCTGGAGCCCTGTGGCCCCACTGCAAAGCACAGGCGGCCAGCAGGGCGCTCAGAGCTTTCAGAGCACGAGCTGGGCCTCAGGTTTATTGTCCTCTTTGCTTTTTAAGCAAAGACCTGTGCCTTTCGGGGATCTGTGCACCTTGCTGGTGAGGCTGAAGCCAGCCTGCCTGCCGGGAGCCCTGGGGCCCCGGGTGTCCCCGACACTCCCACCTGGAGCTGCCGGCCAAGGAGCGCGGCTTGGGGCCCCATGGCCGGTGTGTGTCCGGCCTCGCTGGGCAACCGCCACCCCCACACAAGTGACTCCACACTTGACTGCCCCGTGGGGGCAGCCTCGGGGACTCCCCAAGCTCTGGCGACCCGCCCATGCCCCCACTTCCTCCTGATGAGAGCATCTGTGAGGGAAGTTCGGTCCAAGGCCGGCATCCTCTGGGACCGTGGGGGAAGGGAGGCGCCTCCGCGGCTGGGCTAGAAGTCGCCCAGGTACCTTGAGGAGTACCAGCCACTGTGCACGGTGTTCAACAGGTGACACTGTTCTAGGTCCCCACCTGCCCCATGCAGGGCTCAGCCTGCCCAGGCAGTGGGATTTCTCAGCAGCCAGCAGCAGCCCCACCGTCAGGGCCGGGAGACAGGGTCAGGGTTAGGAAGGGGGGGGTCTCACTGGGGCTTCTCCCTCCAAGGATCCAGGGTGACAGTGGCTGCGTGAGCACTCGTGGGCCCAAGTCAGACTCTGCCATTCCCTAAAGCTTACACACCTCTGTCCGCTTTATGTAATACAATAATTTCAAAAATCAGTGTTTAAAAATTACCTTTCTAAAGAGAAATCACGTGCTGTGTGCACAGACCTCACGTAGATGCGGTGGCACAGAAAGGAAGGGATTTGGCGTTAACACTAGTGACAGTTTGCGGGTTTGGTCTTCATTTTCAATCAGCCGGTGAGCTGATGGTCACAAACTCGGAGGTGTTCACGTGCTTTATTAAATATTCACATCTCACATTTTATAGGTCAAGATCTCAAGTAAAAATACATTTCTAGAAATCCATGATTTCATAGCCCATAATTGAGTTATAGAGGACATAATTTTAAATCGGTCTTGAAAAACATTCACAACGAAGTGTACAGACGTCAAGTACTTCCGGCACCGAACAGCAGGAAACGTCAGCTCTGGAAGTGAGGCCTCGGGGGTGACAGCGGACAGGGGTCCTGGTCAGCCCTGCGCCAGCAGCCTGGCCCTGCAGCTCTCGCGAAGCCTGGTGATGGTGGCCATGGACAAGCTCCCGGGCTCTGAAAATATTTTCTGGAACACAAAGGGAATTTGTTTAAAAAACCAGCAACAGGTGTTCAGCTCAGTGGCCCCCCCATACCCCTGCTACTGCCCCAAGGGAAGGGCTTGCACGGCCCCTTCTCCTGCGGCCCCGAGCTGTAGCTGAGGGGTCCTGTGGCAGCTCCGAGGCCAGTCAGGGCCCTTGGTGAGTGGCCAGAGTGTGGGAAGCCGGTGGAGCCTCAGACTGTTGTCTGCTGAGAACGGGCTTCGCACTGAGAAAGACGTCCCCCGGGGGTTGGGGGGGGGGGGTAGTATATGCCATCACATCTCTCCTGCATACTAATAATTTAACGATCACTTCTACAGTTACTGCTGAGAAATTCATGGTTTACAAACCAGGCCAGATGTGAGGCTGGCAGTAAAAAGGTTTTGTTTTCTTTTGAAGAAATTAGAGGAATTCTTCCACAGGTACGTGTTACGCAGCACCTAGGCCACGGCGGAGTGTTTATGGTCCTGAAGGGGGAATCAGGCAAGTCCTGTGAGCCCTGCTTACTCTCCAGAAAATTCTAGATATTCTTGTGCGGCACTCTCTCTAGAGGGCGCATGGGCTGCAGGTACCGCGCGTCGGGGAAGAAACCCGTCCGTGTTCAACTTTGCAGAGATCGCTGGGGAAGGTCCCCGTGCTGGCCGCCTCCCCAGCAGCTCCCGTCAGGGCCATGACGCACAGTGCTTCCCTCGGGTGGCTCGCGGTACCGGCAGCCACTCGGCCCCCTGGGGTGCTTTAGAAACATTCGCACTGACTGAGCACCTACTGTGTGACCACCAGCGTGCGCGATGCCAGTCAGAACCAGACGGCGCCGAAAGCGTCACGCGGAGGGAAGGCAGCCAGACAGCGACACGCGGACTCGCTGGTGTACCTGACACATGCAGACAAGGCAAACCCGGATGGAAAGCAGACCGGTGGCTGCTGGGTAGGGGAGGGGCGGGCACTGGGTCCCTCGGGGGTGATGGCCGTATCACCAGACCTTGAGCCGCCCATGCGCTAACAGGGAACAGAAAACCCCGTGTCACCCAGGAGGAGCCACCAGCAGCTGCAGCCCAGACGGGGTAGGTGGGGCCTTGTCCAAATCCCAGGCCCACGACCCTGCCCTCTGCCCTCTCTGGACAAGGCGTTGTGTCATGTGGGACGGGCTCCAAAGAGCTGCAGGCTTCTGACGGTCCCCAGCTGGTCACCACCTCTGTTGAGGCTGCTGAGCATGGCCAGTCCACCCGTCTGCCCGCCACTCGGAGAGCGCATGTGGCCCTGGCGACTGGTCATCCCGTGGCCTCGAGTCCGGCTAGACTAGGACCCCTCATTCCCCGTGCCCCAGGGCAGAGGCCCTGGCCTCTCCGCGCCTCTACCCAGGCCGCTCCCAAAGCCACCCCGCTCCGCGCTCCCACGTCCCCCCAGTGGGAGAAAGCCCTAGTGGTGCACTCTGGCCAGCGTCCTGATTCCAGGGCAGTCTGCCGTCAGATCACCCAATTGTCCCCTGATGGCAGAGCCGGGGGCTTGCTACCTCCCGGAAGGTCGGGGGGAACAACCGGGCCACCTGCCTGCACTGATGGCTGGTTCAGGTGCCGAGCAGAACCTGAAATCAGCCTCCCCCGGCCTCCGCAGAAGGCCTGTCGGTACGGCTCCTGCTCCGTTCGCTCAGCACACCAGAGTCATCTACACAGCCTGCACGAGGTCCAGGACCCAGCACGGAGGCCCTGGCATCGGGGAGCTGCCCTTTGGGGCAGGACACACAACAGACACATGCGACCCCACTGGGGCCACGGAGAGCCATCTGGGACCAAAGACGCTGGCTACAGGGGAAGGGGTCAGATGGGTCTGCATTCCAACCCAGTGAACCTGGACCAGGCTGATAGGGGTCCCAGCAGGGGGGAGGCGAGGCCCAGAGGGGACACAGGGACAGGCAGGCTGGGGACGCCAGCACGCCTGGCCAGGCCGCTGCACCGGGAGCAGAGCCCCGACACTCACCTGCATGAAGGTGTGGCACTCGGTCACAAAGCTGCCTCTGGTGATCTCCTTGAACCGCTCGCAGGTGTCCGCCACACTGCTGGCTTCCAAAATAAAGGCCTGGTGGTGCTTGATCAGGGTCAGGGCCACCCGGAAGAGAATCTTCGAGCCTTCGCTGAACAGACAGTCCCAGATCCGGAGCACCGTCTGCGGATAAACAGAAATGGCGCGTCACCGGCTGGGGGCTCACACGGCCCTGGTCCCCGCGAGGCACATGCCGCGCTCACCTCCACGGGCAGGACGTCCACGAACAGGCAGATGAACCAGCGTGACACGACCAGGGTCCACAGGACGCCGTGCCTGTCCATCAGGGCCGCCACCGCTGGCAGCTTGGTCCTCACCAGCTCCCCCAGGACCTCCTGGTCTGTCTTCAGGCCCAGCATGGCAGGGCTGTAGTAATCTGCCACACGAGGAGAGCAGGGCTGTGGCTGAGCGCCCTTCCCAGCAGAGGAGAGGACGGCTCCCAAAGCGAGGCCGCGCCGTGCACCGGTGAGAATCCGCCGGCAGGAAGCGTTTGCACGGCTGCGCTCATGGCGCCGAGAGGGGGGACACAAGCAAGTGTCCACTCGGGCAAAGGGACAAAAGTGTGCCGTGTACGCGGGCGGAACTGTCCTCAGCCCCACAAGCAAGGGTGAGCCCCCAGGACGAGGTGCGCGGACCAAAGCCAGATGCTGGACCGGTGCGGCTGAGATCCCTGCAGCCACCACACCCACAGACAGGACGTAGGATCGTGGGCCCCAGGGCTGGGGGTGCGGAGCTTCGGTCTGGGAAGATGAGAAAGCTCTGGGGACGGGCTCGTCAGTGTGAGCACACTGGTGCCCTCGCTGAGGGCCGGCCGGCAGCATGGACACGCCATCTGGCTAAGCAGGGGCCGTGGGACACAGGAGCAGGTGCGGGGACAGTGCTGACAGTGACCTGCACAGGACGGGGCCCTTGCTCTCGGAATCAGTCCCGCGTCCTCTCCCCACACTGGAGGGTCAAGTTCCTGGCATTCTAGAAGGGGCTGGACATTCCCACCCCTCTGACTGCAGGAGGACAGAGGCAGCCAGAGGCTTGGGCTGTCCTGTTCATCACAATGAGACCCGATAGCTTAAGTTGGAGAAATGCCTTAACCAAGTTCATGGCCTGGGGGCCCCAAACCATAGAAGCACAGAAAGCACAGCCCACCAAGGTGACTTCACGGCCGCTCCACTCCTCCCGCCCACAGGCCTGGGCACCGGCTGGCAGCTGGCGGTCCCCACTGGCTGGGACCACGTACTTGGACAGACAGCACGACGCTGCCCGTAGCGTGTCTTCTCCGAACGCATGTGTCCTCCCAGAGAACTTTTTTGCTCATTAAAGGCACGTATTATAGACTTTAATGATTAGTTTTTGCTGTTAAAGTGGTCTCTCAAAAATGAATAAAACGTTAAAAAATTTAAAAACAGAACACCAAGGATTTTACAAGTTTTTCCTGTTCATACCCTCATTTTGCATCTATCATCTCTTCTTAAATTGAGCAACATCCTGGCCCCCCCAGGAGATGGAGCAAAGAGCCTCTGCAGTCCGTTCAGAGTGTCCTGCAAGCGACCCAGTTCTCCAAGTGACGCCCTGGGGCAGCCGGGGTTAAGCCTTCAGGCGGTAAGAGGGTTTGCTGAGCTCCCAGCAAGGTGGCCTCACTCCTGGCCCGAGAGGCTTACAGCACCTTCCAAAAATAGACCTGACCAGCTCACACCCTGACTGCCCCGGGGCCTGGGGGTCACCAGGGCAGGAACCCCGAGACCTGACCTCCTCACCCTCCTGGCCGCGTCCGGCCCTGATGCCGAAGGCAGATGGAGCCCGGAGCCCGGGGCCCGCTCCTCTGGGCCGTCTGAGCAGAAGCACACCTCCGGGCCAGCATTCGGCTAAGCACAGGACGAGGAGCCTCCTCAGTAGGCCTGGCGGGGGCCTCGCCTTGGGGACGGCAGCCTTCTGCAAACAGCGCCCTGGCCACGTCAGCACATTGGAGGGCTGAGCCGGGCTGGGGCACAGATTTAGAACCAGCCCATCTTACTGCTGCCAGAGCTGGGATCCAAGGGGGTGCCATCTAATTCCAAAACCAATGCTCTCCAGCCCCCCAAAGGCAAAAGCGCACCCCACGGGCAAAGGGCACAGGCGGTGAGATACGGCCCGCAGGTAGGGTGACCCCCTGGGACAAGGTCGTCAAGAGGACACGGGAGACACACGGCAGCTCCAGCGGTGTTCACACCTTCGCTCTGCTTCCCAGGGCCCCTGAGTCTCCCCGACGGAAGGTGCTTTGGTCCTCCCTTGGACCACCTTCTGTCTTGAGCTGTGTTTGGAGGGGAAACAGGTCACACCAGCTTGTCGGGACGCCAGTGTGTTAATTCACTGGGCTCTGCTCGATGCGACATCCCAGACGGCGCTCCCGCTCCGTTCCTGAAGCCCGATGGCACCGTCAGCCGGGACCTCACCGGCATCTCTGCAGGCCCAGGAGGCCTGTTCCCTCGTCCTTTCCCTGGATGCCTTGGTCCAAATGGTGACTGCTCAGGACAGCGGCCTGACCCGAGAGAGGCCGCCCGGCAGGCTGGGTGGAGGAAGGGCAGGGTCTGCACGTGGAGGCCAAGTTCAGGGCGTGCACACACCGTGTACTGGTGCTCCAGAACACGACTTCCCTCCCACATCAGCTGTTCTGAAACAGGGGCGGCTCTGCTGGCCTAGTCACAGGTGTCCCTGCACCTTCTTGCTCGTGGGAGACCTCAGCCGGTCTTCCCAACTCTCAGCCACACAGGCCTCCTATTATTTCCTACTGAGCCGCTCCTACCCAGAGCGGTAGGGACCCTTCACGCGTGCGCTGCGTGATCACAGACACCACCTCTTTTCTGTTTTCCTTGCAAGGTCTTATCTCAAAGTCAGTTTTTAATTTTAACGTAACGAAAATTATCAATCTTGTCTTCTATTTTTGGAATTTTGTTCAAGACCTACCTCCCTCCTCAGCAATCACGAGGCTGTTCTCACCTCATTTTCTGAGTGTCAAAGTTCCGCTTTTTCATGTGTCTTGAATCCACCTGGAGTAGGAATAGGGTTTTCCATGTACACAGGTGTCACAGAGGATGTTGCAAACGGCCATCTTTCCCTACTGATCGACATACCTCAAACCCCAAGTCCCCCAGATTCATAGGTCGGAAGACCAATCGATTTCTGCGCTCTCGCCTCTGGTCTCCATACCGTTTCCTTGTAATGGCAGGAGAGGACGTTAAATCTCCAATATTCCCTCAGGCCTCCCTGGTTCCCTAGATAAACCCTCCTCAGATAAAAGAACCACCGAGGTCCAAGCAGCTGATGTCACCGCAAGTGTGATTTGCGCATGTGAGACCTTCTATGACATTTGTCTGTGTGACAGCCGCATGGTGCGAGCCCCACAATGTGAGCGGATGAGTGTGTCCTTTTCTGTTTTCTGAAAGATTTGTAAAGCGCGCAGAAATTCTCCACACCTTCAAGGTTCGATGACAGTATTGCCATTTCAGACGGTCCACTTTCTCCTAAATCAGCTTTGTTAGGCAGTATTTTTCTCAAAATTTTCCACTTGGCCTCTTTGTCTTACTTGTATTCTCTTGAGATTCTTAAAAACCTCTGAAAATTTTCAAATTCCAGCACCCTTTCCATTTCCACGTATCCGTCCTGCCAGGCTCTGTCTGTTGTGTTGGTTTTTCCAGAGAACCAGCCTTCGTCTCGGCTCGTCTTTCTGACTGCTTCTGTTCCGACTTACCAGTCCTGGAAGCCTGTGCCGCGGGGAGGCCGGCACGGCTCAGCGTGTGTGACCAGCGTGCCACCTCCCAGGCCCCCTGCTTCTGTGTGACGAGGAAAGAAACTAGGGAGCAGGATGCTGGTGCCGGGCCAGCCTGCTTCCAGTGACCCACAGCAGTGCCTCTGCCCCCTCAGTCCTGACTGCAGTGTCGTCCGATGGGACGTCGCGAGGATGGGAAAGGACATTTCAGGGGCTAACACACAAGCCTGTGCAGTTACCTGCCCTTCAGGGCCAGCCCAGAGCCCCTCTGTGACAATTTCAGGCTGTGCCATGGCTGCTGCTGCCCCCTCCCGCCTGTGTCTTCATTCGCTGAAACTTCCCAAGCCCCAAAGCAACCCGGGGATGTGACAGGTCTCAGTGAGTATTTGTGGGAAGGAGCTGACTTGGTCACAGTACAAATACACATCGTGATTCAGTCTCCAGACGCAGCTCAGCCATCGCTCCATCTGGAAGGTCCCCTGACCAACCCCCCGCCCCGCCACTTCCTCGCCATTTCCCTGCACCTGCCGCTCAGGCCTCCCCAGGCAGAGCTGGGACAGTGAGATGTCACGCACATGGGGACGGTCTGTCCCTTGAAGGCGGCCTATCCAGGAGGGCTGCTGGCGTGTCCACTCTGTGCCATGGCGAACAGTGGCACTGGAGCGTGAGGAGGCCCCATTCCGTAATGGTGCCACTCTGATTCACTCTGGTTCACTCTTCCGTGAGGCACGTGCCAACATCTGACGGCCACGGGATCTAAGGCTCGAGGGTCCTCATCTGTAAAATGGATCAGTAGTTGGGCCCGTGTGGTACTGCTGTGCTGAGGCGAGACTCGGGACACGGAAACATGCTGTATGCTCCCAGGCAGAAATCACAGCCGACTCCTGCCGTGGTCACTGCGGGGTGCCCGGAGCTGGGGCCAGCTCTCCAGGGTGGTGAGGGCGGTTCCAGCCCGACTTGAGGGCACGCATGCTGGAGGGGAGAACCAGGGCTCACCCGCCCAGTGGTCACGAGAACTCCCCGGGCCGCACATGCCCTGTGTAGCTATGCCCGCCTCAGGCCAAGCACGAGGCTGGGTCTGGTCACCACCGTCGTGGCTGTGGAGGGCACAGGTCTTCTCCCACCCAAGATGGCTCTGGCCACTTCTCTTCCCAAAGTGATCAGGGTCCACAATGCATTACCAAAACCGGTGCTATTTATTAATCAATGAATTAGAAAGAATGACTCTCATCCCAATAACAGTTACAGCTGACAACGACTCACTCTTAGGACTGTCCTGAACTCTACAGGAAGCCGAGTGGACCTCTCACTGATTCTGGGCCCTGCCAGCCTCCACACAACGGGGCAGCCTGGGGACCAAGCCCAGCACCCGACACAGACAGTTCACGCTAAATTGCAGAGCAGAGAGAGTGCAACCAGGGCCCAAACGGTCACAGGCGTGTTCAACCCACCAGGCAGTATTCTTCCCACGAGCGCGTCTAACAGCCAAAAGGATTTCTCTTCGCTCTTGGTTATGAGGACCAGGTAGCCTGCTATGAAGTTCATTCCCTGAAACAAGAAAACGGGTCCTGAGCCACCTCAAGCCACCTTCGGTGGCTATGACGCACTGCTCGTCCCTTGCTGTCCCCAAAACCACGCAATTCCAGAATGACCTTCTGGTGCAAGATCGAGATCTACCCTCCAAGTGACACACACAGCACAAGAAGGCAGAAACACAAATCTGTGTGAAGAAGCTGTCAGGGTCACAGCCCTGGAGTCCACACTCAGACCCTCCTGGGGCTTCGGCCCCC